AAAAATGAATGAATCGATTGATTTGATCACTGGTTTGGTCTTTAGATTTAATCCTTATTATGTAATTTAAAAACTAATCGTCTGTATATTCCATATGATGTCAAACACCACTCAAATCTCAATACTTCTTCACTTCACATACAATTCATTATCTAATATATAATTATTTTGAGTAAATCCTAAATACTGTAATCGAAAGCATTAATTAGTTTAATAAAAGTAATTATAAATTCATTGTAACTGATTGTATAGATATTGCGCTGAAATATTACTAATATTTTAGTAAACCGTATATTAATATCAAATCAATTAGTTTCCGATTGATTGGCAAATAAATGGTAAACTATTTTGAGTTTACGGTTATAATCAATTAAAAATAGATAAATATATTCGTGAGACTGATCTGAAGAGCTCTCATCTAATTAAATATCGCATACCTTTGACTTTTGGCAAACAGACCGACGATTGATATAATTATAATGACTATTAGCACAAAATGATGCAATGATTACATGATAAAAATAATACCGTATATAAGAGTACAATATATAGTTTGAGTGGAAATAGTGGTGTTGTGTGTAAGGGGTGTAATAATTACATTATTTGTTTGAGTAATTATAGCTAACAAGATATAGTGATAATTGTGTTTATTAGTTAAATAATGTTGCACTTCATAATGTAATCCAATACCTAATTGTCGCACATTTCGCTAATAATATGCAAAGTATTACTTAATCAGAGAATACAAGAATATAATATTAGTTGAATACCTATGGTATGGCATTGCGATGAGTCTTAATGTCTGGTCTGAATCCTATCTGTCAGTGTTTAAGAGCTGGTGGGAGATCTGTATGGGTAGTGATGGGCAATGATGTGGAGGAATACGATAAGTCGATTGGTTTTATCGTTGGAGACATAAATCATTATTGAGATCTTTAAGCACTACTTGAAATATGATTCAAACAGTGAGACACTACTGTCTAATCCCTTACCAATTAAGACAAACAGTTATGTTGTAATGAAAATTGCAGATAATTATTGATAACATTGAAAGAATTTTTATCCTTTAACTGCAATTACGCTGTCATTTGATAGGAACCGGACGTTTGGTCTCATAAACTAATCATAGGTCTTATTTTTAAGAGTGTTTTTCTATGATTTTAGATAAATTCTTCAAACATTTTTACGGATGAAAAGTATTAATACATGTTTATTAGTGAATGCGAAAAACAACCTATTAATGTAACAAAAATAATTGATTTATAATGTTTTTACAGTGTATTTACACTGACTTTTCGTCGGAAACCGCATTAAATATGTCAATGAATTTAACAGAAAAATATATTTATTTGTATTTAAGTTATATCACAATTATATATGAATTTACAGAAATAATGGCAATTTGAAAACAAATCCTTAATTTGATGATTATTTTTAGGCATTTAGTGAATTCCTATATAAACTTCAATCACAACATTTGAATACTATTTAAATTTGCTGCTAATTAAACAATAATTAGCGGCAATCAATCACTATTAGTTTTGTAGACCTAATCAGTACTTGACTTGAGTGGTGTCACTGAACGTCACTATAGACTTCCTTCTGGTCTCTTGGAAACGAGGCTTCTGTTCAATTTGTGTCTCTTCGTTCACCTCTTCGACCAACTCTTGGACGGCTCCCAATTCGCTGATATTAAAGGCGGTGTTGTCGTAGTTGTTGTTCATCTGATCCGTCAAACTCTTGGAGGGCTTTAGTGACGACTTTCTCGGATAAGAAGTTCGCGGACTATTGGCGTTGTGGACGGCTTTAGCGCCAATCAGTATATTATTGGTCGCATCGATAGTCGATTCTTTGGGCGGCTGTTCGTAGTGTTCATCACTTTTATAGCAAAAACAATAATTGAAACACTTATTGAAATTTATGTGCAAAAATTGTGGCAAAATAATAGTGAGACTCACTAATTATTTTCGGCAAATTGTTTGCCATCGTTGTACTGAATCGACTCCCTATCATCTCTTCCACCAAATTTAAAAGTAATCGGTTTCTTACGCCTCAATATAATGAGCGCTAACGCGAGTGCTGTAAACAATATGAGACAAAGACTGGCCAAGAATGCGATGATTACAGTACACGAAGAGGTGTAAGAGTTGTCACAGTTTTTAATGAAAGTGCCGATTATTTGGATCTTTTTGTCCGCATCTAATGTAATGTTGAGCACAAAGTTATTGTCGCTGTTGTCCACCGGTTTCTTCAGACTGACAGTGGCTTTGTTATCATTGGTTGTGTTCAATTCAAACGTTCCCGACGTGTCTGAAAAAATATATTCATTATATTATACTTTAATTTGGTTTAAATCTAAATTTTTATCAAAATGTCATATATTGATACTTTGTATTGTATTTATTTTGTATTCTTTTACTCCCACTGACTATTAAACCAATTTATATCAATAAAAATGAAATACGAAATTTCATTAAATTGAATAAAATGCTATAACTTATGTTAAAAATACAATTTATTAAATCATTGAGTGTATGAAATATAGCGTCTAATGAAAGCGTCTAAAACTTTGCTCTAACAGTGAAATCTTGAAAATTTTCAATTTACAGAAAACTATCATTTTTCAAAAACACATCAATAACTCAAATAAATTTATTATCATTATTATTAAAAGCTATTCTTTGCCGTAAATTTGTAATAAATAATAAGCAAACAAAAGGTGAACGAAATGTTCGCAGAATATTGTTGTTGTTATAAAAAAAAGTTAAATAAATATTTAAATTCTTATCGCAAAGAATTTCTCAGAGACGACAAAAAGTGCTTTATTTAGAAACTGATTTCAAAATCATTTGTTAATCACAGCATAGAATATGAATATCACTTAAAGTAATAAAGAAATTTCAGCTCAATTTATGATATTTATAGCGATTATAAATACGGTATACTTTTGTTTGAATAAACGTTTTCTTTGTTTTAAAACAATGATAAAAGAAAAGGTTTACTCCACTCTTGTTTATGCATTTCTTTTGTCTAACAATTTACTTCTTAGCGTAGATTTAGTACCTTTTGTAGACTTTAATACCAAAAGTATCTCAAATGTCTATTTTTGTATTTAATTTATTAATTCTTTAGTAAATAATATTTACTGTAGTAAACAATATTATTGCACTTACAGTATATACAGTACATGTATATAATAATTTATCGTTTAATAAACTAAAATTTAATTACAATATTTGATAGTATTTGACTAAAACAAAACATGGGGTTATCTCAAAAAAGTCTTAATCATTTTTTTGTTAGAATTAAGCATTCAATCAAATAAATTATATATTTTTTAATGAATTATTATAATATAATAAATTTAAAAGATAGCAACCATTTCATGACTTTTCTGAGAAAGACTATTAATAACAAGGCTATAAAAAATTGTGAGTACATCTATATAATTTTATTAATTGCAAATACACTTAACTGTAATTATTAATAATAAATCAACCATTATTGTTTAAATAATACAATTAAAAAGAATGAATTTATGTTACAATTTTATTTAATTATAAATATACATTTACATGAAGCTCAAAATTTGTATTATAATTGAATTTATATTCAATAGAAAGCTGACTCGTGAGAATTAGAAATATTGACGTTTATAATAGATAAGCATGGTATTTTTCTTACCTTCAACAGCAATTGAGCTAGATTGAACTGCCTTGCCAAATGTGAACTTGAACAATTGTGACCCTTTGGCATTCTCGGCACACGTCTCTATTTGCTCACTAATTATGAAATCCGTCTCTGAGTTAACTAATGGCAAAACGGATGATAAGATTGCGATGAAAGCGATTGTTAATAATTTAAGACAAGATTTGGATGATTTTGTTTGAGTCATTTCGATGCCAATCAATCACAGCATCACATAAGGCATACAATTGTCACACAATATAAGTGCCAATCTATACAAATATAATGGTATTACAAACTTTTATATTCTTTAGTTGCCGTAAATTGATAGACAGAATAAAACAAAAACTTAATTATTATAAAAAATAGTCCAATAAATTTATACCGATTATAACAACGATATAAATAAAATTATTATCAAAACAATTATATTGAAGTGAATGTTAGGGTTTGAATACAATTTGCAGTAATTATACGTGAATTAGTGATAAAATGAAGGCTCGCTTTAAAACAATATGATATTTAGAGGAGAGGACTGATAGGCACTTCATTTTTGAATCTATAGTTTTGCGAACAGTGTATGAATTGAGTGATATATACTGTTATGCACTCTCTTTCACATTTCATATAACATTATTATATTCACATCAGACTTGAAAAGATAAACTCAACCTTTCGTTTCACTCTACTATTCTTCGACATTGATTTGTGTGTCTATTATCACATGTAATCATAGATACAATTGTACACAACAACTGTACAATAAGCATAGGAGAAATTTAAATTGAACATTTGGGCATGGTTAGATTTACTAATTCATTGGCTCACTAGTCGACACATACATCTATTGTTCATAAGAATTAATAAATTGTTATTAAATGAAAATCAAAGCTATAAAAACAGTTAATCACTTGACGTCATCTTTTTGTTCATTCAGTAGTTTAAGTGATAAAAGAAATTAATTCTTGCGATAAACAAAGTCTCCACACATTTGGCTATAAATTACTGATTATATAAACTCTTTGATGAAAGTAATGTGTTTTCCAGATTAAGAGCACATGGTATTAGATTTGACCACAAGATTATCATTATGTGGTAATCGATTGTGTGAATCATCTAAAGTATCACATAATTGTTATGTCAACACATCTATTGCATCAAATAGTATCATATAGGTGCTTTTATGTCACTTTAACCTTTTAAATATTTAAATAAATGAATATTCAGTATTTGATATATTTTTGAAGCGAGAGAGAAAGAGAGAGAGAATGGGAGTTAAATGACAAAACTTTTCAACA